CTGTGGCAATTTCCTCCCGTCGTCTTCCTCAGGAGCCCTTTCTCACATGACCACAATGTGTGGCTAATTCTGAGGAATCGCAAGTATTATAGTGCCTCAATAACTTGACATGCCCCTGTAGTTTTACCTCTCCATCTTCTCTTGTAGGAGGAAGAGCCACATGTTAGGGAACCAGGGTTAAGAGGCAAGCTACTGAACATAATGACTGAGCACTTGAAAGGATTTGAATGGCATGAAAGAGGCACAGATCCATCCTTTTGTAAACACAGATTCTCACGAGGACTAGACTTATGGAGAGATTAGCCCCTTCAATAAACAAGTGGATGTATCACGCTGCAAACCCGGTGCAGCTGGGCATTACTGCGCCATTGTCCCGGGTAATCTGGGACGCTTGCCATTTAATCTGAATGCTATTAAAATCTCTCTTTTCATGTGGATTACTAAGAGAGATAATAGAGCTAGCAGCTCGTCCTGACCTTCACATTAACTGCGAATCCCACAGCGCTGCACCGAGTGTCTTCAAGTCTTCACATTTTCAGAAGCCCTAAGATCCCATGAAATCGAAATTGGAGTTGGTGGCTTTTATTCCATGTCTGTTAGCTTTGAGGTCATCTATAGTGTGCTGCAAAAGTTGACAAAATTCACATTATGCATATTTAAAATGTATAGTCTGTCTTTTCTGGGAAACAGTCTAAAAATACTGATTGATTACTTCGCATTGATTTAACTTGTCATTTTAGATATGAGCCTAACCCTCCACTTGACACCAGCCACTTTCTACTAGCAACAGCAAATAGAAAAGTGACATAGCTAAAGTTATTGGATACTTAAAAAAAAAGGAGCGAGCCCTTCAATGTGTCCTGTCCCAATGTCTTGCTACAATATGGCAAGGCAGTAAAGAACAAAGTATGTCATTGGGTCTGTAGCCTACGTATGAGAAATAAATGTATAATATGCTCACATTTTACGAAGACTCTAGCCAATTGGCATGTAAAAAGCAGGTCGCAAAATCGAATAATGAAAAAACCAAAATATGCTGGTTAGGTATATTTTGAAGCATGGCTGCTGGTTTGAGCTGGTCCTAAGCAACTAGCTCCTGCTCATGAGCAGCTTAAACTAGCAGCCATGCTTCAAAACATACCTAACCAGCAGATGCTGGTTTTTTCAAGAGTATGAACAGAAAAATAAAATGTCCAAACAAGCAAGCAGTACAGTATAAATTAATCTGTTTGAACTGAACCACAAATTTGAGCAATATCACACAACACAAGCAAGACTTCTGTTGCTCAGACGCAGGTAATCACAGCTGTGCTAATATTCAGGCCGACGTGAGTGTGATATTGCTGTATACAATAAACAAGAAGTCAGTATTGAATAACTTGCATGATATTATACACTCTATTGTCAGTTTGTGTATTTTTTGCTCCCCGGTTCCAACGAAAATAGTTCTAAACGATGTCTAAGCAGAATCATCACTGAGCACAAAAGTAGTTACAATGCGTTACAATGTAAGTTTTTTTTTTTATCAGATTCAAAATCATTCTGATTGCACACTTCTAATAAGGCTTCTGTTTGTAGCTTGTCAAAGTCTGTCAAAGGTATATTAGCCTATGTGCAGTGTGTGGCCTATCATGTTGCCAACATTGGATAACATACACATTCAGTAGCAGACAAATAAATACCTAAGCAGTATTTAATCAAAACTAAAGTTTTCTGTCATTCCCATGTTATTCTTTTTTGTTGTGGTTGTAATATCTCACCTTATTGGTCGACATGGTTCCTCATGGCTCTTGAAAGCATTTAGATTGTCAACAAATGCACGTGTACAGCCATCCACCGAATGATGAGAGTATATTTACGACAGTGAATTTCACTCACATAACTGTAGGGGGCTCCAAAGTTGCAAAAAAAAAAAAAAAAAAAATCCAGAAGAACTGTGGCTACGTCTCTAAGATGCTTCAAGTACGGTGCCCTGCAAATGGCATGTATGAAAAAAATAGTAGGCTAAATCGTGCGCATGATTTACTATTTCGTTTCCTTGATTTATAAATTGTACGCACGATTTACTAATTCGTTCCCTCGATTTGCTAAATCGTGCACACGATTTATAAATCGAGAGAACAAATTAGTAAATTGTGCACACGATTTAGCAAATCGAGGGAACAAATTAGTAATCGTGTGCACATTTTAGCACATCGAGGGAACGAATTAGTAAATCGTGTGCATGATTTATTTATTTTTTCTTGCATGTCATGTGCGGGGCTCCGTATTCAAGAAACCTACCTGCAAAGCTACCTGAAAAACTGTGCAAGTGCAAGTAGGGCAAAAGCTGCTTTAAACGCAAAGGATGCTCATACCAAATGTTGATTTAATTTAGTTAATAGAAGTTAATTGATAAAGAAAATCTATTTATGACATTATTTTAGACAGCATCCTCATTTTACAGCATTTTTACACAAGTGGCTAAAACTTTGAACAGTACTGTAGCTTTGCAGGTAGGTTTCTTGAAGCGTCTTGGAGACGTTGCCACAGTTCTTCTGGATTGAGTCTGTCTCAGTTTGTTCTGTTTCTTCATGTCATTCCGGACAGACTGATGATGATCAGATCAGATCTCTGTGTGGAGCACTGGCTGCTGTCAGACAAAAATCTCTTACAATTAATGGCAAAATGAATGTTTGGAAATGTAAACTGATATTTATACTGACACACTACAGCAAAAGATAGAAATAAAAACTATAAACAAATGTTTAAGCTGGTGAAAATACTAGTGTTCTGATAATTTTGCCCACCACTGTAGCTAGTTCTACGTCGTGAATGAATCAGTGTTGTGAAGATTCAACTGAATGGTTCACTGATGAATGTAATCGCTTGTCGCCACCTACTGGCATAATGTTGTAACCTGCAGAAAGACTCACTGAAAAATCCCCACCACTAAAGCACAGAATGACAGTCTGTCTGGAATGAACAAACACAACAGTGTGATATAAACGGTGAAATGACCCAGTGCTTTTGGACTGTATAGTTGAATTCAGAATAGCATACCATGGTATTTTTCACTATTTCTGCCGTTTCTGTAAATGCAGAAATAGTAAGAATATGGAAGGCTGTTCTGACCCGATTTGAGAAATGGTAGGCTACTAACTGTCGTGTAATGTACTATGAGATCTGAAACGTAATGCATCCATATCAATATAATATAAAGTGCAAAACCACTGGGGCAAGTAAGAGTGAGCAAAAACTTACTGAGTGCACCTTTAAGGGAAAAAGGATCAGGATCCAGTTATTCAAAGACAACAGGTCACACAGGTTTTGTGGTCTACACAGCGGGAAAAACATATCAAAGTTCAACAAAAATATCAGAGTTCACTGACTAATTGGAAATAAAATGGCCCTACGGAACAATCTGCCTGTTGTGGGTCAAGAACACGGCTGTTGTAAGAGTTTTCCTTTGTGTCCTGATTAGTGAAGGAGAAATCATCCTCATCTTAACCAAAATGATCAACTTTATCCTGGCACTAACCCCCTCAATGCCTGCGAGAGACATTCAGACTCACAGCAAACTGGTGTATACCTCCATCTAGGGGACAAAACTCCTAAATACACTTTCTCTTCACACACACACGAACATCCATATAACCTTTCCATTAAACAAAGCATTCTTGTTTGAAATGTTCTTCACACTAAGAAAAAATGGTTCTATTAAGAAATCCAAAATGATTCTTCAGTGCTTCAAAAACACAATTTTGCAATTATTATTATTTTTTTTTAAAGATTAAAGCTGTCTGTGTGCCTTAAGGGCTAAAAAGCTATCTGTTAGCATTCACATTCATCTAAACAGCAGTTGTAGTACGCAAAAACATTCCAGAGATACCCAAATACATATAATGGGAAATAAGAAAAACACAACTCATGACATCATTTTGCTATCATTGGGCTGATTTCAGGCCAGAATTGAGCCTCCATAAATATAATAAAAAATATAAATCCATGCATCTAATACAATCTGTATATAATAATATAATCCATTTATAATAATCCATAAATATATGTTGATATTCGTCTATCTGTACATTCTAGTTTATACCCTTCTTTTTTATTTTTTTGTAATGGAGTGGTCATAAAAAAAGCCTTTCACTGCATGTCATACTATGTATGGTATGTTATGTGTGTGACAAGTAAAATTTTAATTTGAAAATTATACAATTATTATATTACTGGATATAGGAACAAATATACAGTATACACATAATTACTGCCCATAATTGGTGATCTGAAATATGACATTGAAATGTCAGATTACTTAATGAAAAATAGAGAAATATTATGGAAAAAAAAGAAAAAACGCATTTGTGACCCTGGAGCACAAAAGCAGTCTCAAGTCGCTGGGGTATATTTGTAGCAATAGCCAACAATACATTGTATGGGTCAAAATTATCGATTTTTCTTTTATGCCAAAAATCATTAGGATATTAAGTAAAGATCATGTTCCATGAAGATATTTTGTAAATTTCCTACCGTAAATATATTAAAACTTAATTTTTGATTAGTAATATGCATTGCTAAGAACTACATTTGAACAACTTTAAAGGCGATTTTCTCAATATTTCGATTTTTTTGCACCCTCAGATTCCAGATTTTCAAATAGTTGTATCTCAGCCAAATATTGTCCGATCCTAACAAACCATACATCAATGGACTTATGGTTCCATTATGGTTTTGTGGTCCAGGGCCACATTTACTCTTTAAGGAAGTAAACCAGCATTATCTCTGAATATAAAACTGGGAAAGTCATTTTAATATAGGGAAAAAAAATTCACGCATAACACCATTGACCAAAAACTGACAATATGTCCCTGGGTTTTGCTGATCTGGATACTGGTTCCAGGTGCATATGAACATTACTGTACGTTTGACAAATTTACAAGAAAAAAAAAAAAGACCTTATTGAAAAAAAAAAAATCACAAAAAACCCAACTGTGTATTTCATTACAAGTTTAATTCAACATTCACTGTAAGTTAATCATCACTCTCTAATTCATATTTAACAAAACATTATTAGAAAATGCACCGTATAACAACCAGTCTTCTGATTCGAGGTGCTAACATGACACTTCCTGCACAAGCTCAGTTACATCGTTCACTGGGGATTCCTACCTTATATAACCTTATACAACAGTATGTGGTGAACAGGGGCGAGACAGAACGAGGAGGAATGTTCATTAACACTGATTAGCTTTTCCTTGGGAATATCTATAGACCTCGGGCTCTCCGAGTAAGACACTGAGTGTTACATCTGAAAAATTAAAACAAAAAGGGTACACATGAAACAATACAGTAGTAATGGGTGTAATATATTTGCATTTAATATTTTAGTAAAGGACGGTTATGATGGAATGCTACGTCAGTATGAAGTGCTTTGCACCAGAGACGCGGTCACCTGCATCACCTGTGACGATTGCATTTGGATTTCAACTGTACAAGGTAAAACAGGTAGAGAGCGTTTAACTATCAAAGTACTACAATAGCTTTACTGCCTGACCGTTCACATTTAACTCTTCCATGCAGTCATGCAAAAAATTCCCTCCGATGAGTTGCAGCTTGTAAACCAGAGCCACGCCGATGAGCTTTGCAAAGCAACACCTAAAGTACAAAATATCAGCCCATCCCACTCGAAGCTCCGTCCTTGAAATCCACAGGTGAGCTCTCTGAGGTCCGTTAGGAAGCAGTTCATTTGTTGCCGCCACCAGAGCACAGGAAGTTGGCTCACCGCTTCCTGTGTTAGAGAGTCTAGAGAGTCCTCGCCTGATTGGGCACATTTCAGCTCCTCCATTACAATTTCTCTCCGCTCTCACACTTCACAACAGACATGCAATACACAGACCGAATTAATTCTCAGGTTAGGTTGTACATTTATATAGATTTATACATATTTATATCATTCGTATATTTTCAGGAATGTTAATCTGTGTGATTTTGTCCGACGATACAAAATTACGTTTCATATAAGCAACATCATAAAAGCAGTCTCTTTCTTTAAAAAAACATCCCTTAATAAAAATAAGTTCTATTTGTGTTTTTTTTATTTTACAATATATTTTCTTTTCCTCTCCGTCTTCTTCTCCAGGTTTGGGACGAGGGGGGAAGGTTGGCTAATATTACAATGGGCACTTTGTGCAGCCGCACTCCACGGTGGTCTCCATCTCCTCGGAAAAGGAGGATCCGTCGGAGCACTTGAAGTTGACCTTCCGTCTCCGGCTCTTGGTGGGGGCGCAGCACAGGCCCGAGTGGCAGGCGCTTGGACACCGAGCCATTTTACTGGTGGAGGTGCAGTTTTTATGACCCATATTACGCTTGAGCAGCTCACGGACCAACTCTCCTTGGCATGTCGGCTCTGCGTGGAGGAGGGGACGGAGGACAGGCCATCAGATAAAGCATTTATATAATAAGAGATTAATAAACATAAGGACCTTCAGGTCAGATATTGACTTGTGTTGCTTCACTCTTCTGGATTCTGTACAGCAAGCTAAAGATTACACCAGACAGCATTTTTAGTGCATTTATAACTGCTCTAATGCAACACATTTTTGGGTGGAAGCATCATTTTGTATGAGGGGATTTTATTCCTCAGGATTTGATTGCGTGAAGCAGTCCCATTCATTTGTGATACAAAGATTTTGATTTTTAATAACACATTTGCTATGAGCTCTGAGGTTTTTTAATCAAAGGTACACTAATGTCAAAATTTAGTTTTTCACAGAAGTCTCTTATGCTCACCAAAATGTAGTAAATATTAATAATGTAATAATATTGTGATAATCTTGTAATATTGTGAAATATTACTATTTAAAATATCTGTTTTCTGTTTTAATAGATGTTAAAATGTAAAGAAATTAAGTAAAGATCATGTTCCATGAAGATATTTTGTAAATTTCCTACCGTAAATATATCAAAACTTAATTTTTGATTAGTAATATGCATTGCTAAGGACTTCATTTGGACAACTTTAAAGGCGATTTTCTCAATATTTAGATTTTTTTGCACCCTCAGATTCCAGATTTTCAATAAGTTAAATTTCAATAGCTGTATCTCGGCCAAATATCGTCCAATCCTAACAGTCCTATGTATAAATCTCAATTTCGAAAAACTGACCCTTATGACGTTTTGTGGTTTTGTGGTCCAGGGTCACATATGTAAATAAAAACCTCTAATTTCCTATCATGAATAATGGATGTCTCCTGCAGTGCTGTGTCTCACCTGTTTCACAGGATGGCCCACTGTACCCAGACTGGCAGAGGCAAACTGGCTCTCCGCTCTCCGTCACCCTGCACTCTCCGTGCACACAGTGCAGCCCCTTGCAGACGGAGGACTCTTCCCTCCTGTCACAGAACTGACCAGAGTATCCTTCTGCACAAGAGCAGCTGTACGTGGAGCCCTTCGGCACACACACACCGTGTACACACCTGCACAGGACGAGAGAGGGAGGACATCACTGCCTGATACCAACACAACTGAGAGTAGGGCTGGCCAATATGGCCAAAAAATTATCATGGTCATTTTTTTTCATATCAGCCGATATCGATAATTTTCACGATAAATGTCAAATCTTTATTTATTTCAAGTTTAAAGCCAGATTTTTGCTCCAAAGCAAAGGTTGTTGAAACCAGACTATCTTAACAGAAAAATGCATTTCTTAGTTTCTGCATGTTCTAACGAGTGATATTGTTTGAAATCAAGAAACAGGTTTGTGCTGTCTGATAATATTAATAATAACATCACTTTTTTTGTCTCTGCACATTTGATAGTAGTAGTAGCTTGAGTTAGGATGCAGATGCAAATTTTTGTTCATTATCAAAATCAGTAACATCTGTAAGAATTGTAGCAACCTCGTTTTTATATGGTGAAATTTAATTATTCTGATTATTTTTTTATTAATCATTGGTCTTCCATAGTAGCATACATTCAAATCATGATAATCACAGTTAAAACCACACATATAGCACCTCGATACCATGGTAAACATATAACTATATGGTTTTTAGGTAATTGTATGAAAAACAGTAGTCTAAATAAATTTAGTATAAATGGACATACAACGCTATAGCTTAATCACAAATAAACTGTGATTATATTCCATTACTCCTTCAATACATGTCTAAATTAATCATATAATAAAGTTCGATATGAATATCCCACATTTCTGACAATACCATACTGCAGTTAGTGTTACTACAGTAAGTCCATGGTAAATGATGGCGATTTGTAGATTGAAAAGGCTTCTGACTCTATTGTTGCACACAGTGTTTCTCCTGTTTGTCAGCGCTGTTTCATCCGGCTTTAAAATCACCGAGTCATTTGTGTTGTTTGCTGAATTCAAGCGCTTCACACTGGATCTCACACTGAAAAACTAAATGTGACCCTGGAGCACAAAACCAGTCTTAAGTCGCTGGGGTATATTTGTAGCAATAGCCAACAATACATTGTATTGGTCAAAATTATCGATTTTTCTTTTATGCCAAAAATCATTAGGATGTTACGTAAAGATCATGTTCCATGAAGATATTTTGTAAATTTCCTACCATAAATATATCAAAACTTAATTTTTGATTAATAATATGCATTGCTAAGAACTTCATTTGAACAACTTTAAAGATGATTTTCTCAATATTTAGATTTTTTTGCATCCTCAGATTCCAGATTTTCAAATAGTTGTATCTCGACCAAATATTGTCTTATCCTAACAAACCATACATCAATGGAACGCTTATTTATTCAGCTTTCAGAGGATGTGTAAATCTCAGTTTCAAAAAATTGACCCTTATGACTGGTTTTGTGGACCATGGTCACAAATACTAAATTTTACTGAAACACTAAACACTAAACACTAAAGGTAAGTGGTTGCAAACAATTTATTTTAGCTACATTTAAAACAAAAATGTTGAAAGTCAGTCAACTAAATTTGTTTATTTAAATGTAGCTAAAATAAATCGATTGCAACCACTTAACGTAAAACACATTAGTAAATTCAATGAATATTTTTTTTTCTCAGTGCAGCGCTGTTTAGTGCTCGCGTGACCGAGACTCGTCTGCTCTAGTGAGCTCGTTTAAACTTTGATCTCTTCATATCCTTTTATCGTTTTCAAATTATATTGCGATAATTATCGTTATTGATTTATTGCGCAGCCCTAACTGTGAGTGTCTGTGCACCTGCGGCTTTCTGTACCTGCTGCTCTGACAGGGGCTCTGGGAGGTGGTCTCTTCACACAGTGGGCCGCTGTGGCCGCTGGGACACTCGCAGGTCACGCCTGCCTCTCCTCTCTGTCTGCAGGCCCCGAGAGCACAGACGCTGCAGGAGTGACAGCCCGGCAAGATGCCCTCCACCCCTGCCAGCCCACCGCCGATGTCCTGGAGTTCTCCGTTGAGCCGTACGTCATGAATGCAGCCGTTAAAGGACTGTAATGGACGGTCTGGACCCGGTCGCAGGCCTGCTGTGTCAATCAGAGAGGGCACACCTAAAATACCAACAACAGGCAAATATTAGCACACATGCTTATGCAGTGTTGGTGAGTAACTAGTTGCATGTAACAGAATTCCATAATTGAATTACAAAACAAATGTAACTGTAATCTGTTACAGTTACTGAGAAAAAATGTGTAATTAAATTACAGTTACTTATGAAAATGATTTCACGATTACAAAGGGGGTTACATGTGAATATTTTCACACACACATACAGATATGATTGATTTCTTTCCCAAATTGCATTGACTGCTCTAAAATATGAGACAGCAATGTTTAGGACACAAAATAGGACACATGCATATTCGATTTCCTATTTAGGTTTATGTATGCTTTATTTTTATTTTTAAATGTCTCAAAATGATTGCCGTTTGAAACCACTGGTTGGAAATTTTGAAAAGTAATCAAGAAGTAATCAAATGTAATTAGCTGCATTCCTTTAATAAAGTAATTGAAATAGTTACACTACTTGTTTTAAATAGGGTAACTATTACATTTCCAAAGTAACCTTCCCAACACTGTGCTCACGTTGCAATCATTATGCATTCAAACACTTGGAAAGCATCTCAAAACAAGCCATATTTAATACTTTGAAACCTTTGAAATGTGGTTTTGATGAACAACGAGGTGTTTTTGATGCTTACCGCCTATGTAGAGTTGTGTGTTGTGGTCCACAGCCGGAGGACGGGGGAGTTTGCCCAGGCTTTTCGGTGCCCCTTTATCCACCACCAAACTCAGCGTCTGATTCTGGATCAGGACCTCCACCGTGTGGAAAAGACCATCATTCATTGACTCCACACTGCAAGAAAGCAGAAGATAGCTAAAAATATACATTTGCTGTATTTTAAAATGATAATTATCTGAAAAGAGTGTGAAATAAACCATTTCATTATTTATTTTTTCCAAAGAAGCAGTGTCAGGCAAGAGCACACTTGAGATTAAATATGATATGAGACAAATAAAGAGAATAAAAGAAAAAGAAGAAAATGTATTCCTGTGATCGAAGCTGAATTTTCAGCATCATTACTCCAGTCTTCAGTCTCACAAAAAACCTTTAAGAAACATTTCTTAAAATAACTGACTAACACCAAACTTTGAATGGTAGTGTAAATATCACTCGTGAGCAAAATATCCTTATTTTTGTGTCATTTCCAATTAAGCTTTTATTTTGTCAAATTTTGCAGTGTGAAAATATAATTTACATTTGTGTATTTTGGATACACAAGATGCTAGCTACAAAACGACTGTTTTAGCCTTAATGACTGTTTTAACTGATCGTATCATGTCACCACTGGGGTAAAATAACTTTTCAAAGCCCAAATGAAAAGCCATGAATGTGCAATACAGAATATCTCCCCGCTGTCTGAAAATGCCATGGTTTCCACATTAGGCTCCGTCAGGTGTATTTCCAGTGAATTTGGCACTGACGCGGAGAGAGCTTATGTTGTGGGAAAAGGAGAGCTTGTGTTGGCCATGAGTTCACTCTTTCTTTGAGTTAGCACGCTCAAATCACATCCTGCTGAGTTTGGCACCGTGACTGCGTGAACTCCTGAGAGCAATTCTCTTTCACACGGTCATTTTTTAACCATTGAAGAGTGCCGTTTGTTCCCGGGTTCCACAAAACATCTCACAGACTATGAGAGCGTGCTCTGACCGGCACAGCTGGATTTTCGCCTTTTTCCTCCTCAGTTTCTTACGATGCGGTGCATGTAGCGCCCTGTTTGGCCCAGATTCTGCTGACTTCTAGGACTGTATTTTGTTTAAAGGTGAGAATTAGGGTTATGAACTTATCAGTAGCCCCTGAGCTATGAGAAAGCAGTCTGCTCAGGCTACAGAAAGCCCAGTTTTGTATTGTAGTAGTTATTGCTGGATGGAGCACAAGCAGTTACAGACAGCTAGAGACAGTGGTTTGGCAAAGAAGCCCAGAGACCAACAGAGAGAGTGGAGAAGGGGGTGCGAGAAATAATATTGTGGCGAGTACAGTATATCTTAATCCCCACCTCAACTTAAAACAAGGTTTTCCTCTTTTTCTGTCTTTGGCAAATTTTCAAAAATCATGTTTTTTCATTGTGCATTCCAATTCATCTCAATAAAACTGCAGTTGGGTTATTTTGATTAGGTAAAAAATAACAAAAAAATACTAGCTAACTAACACAATAAAATCATGATAACATAATAAAAAAAAAATTAAAAAACAATTTTAGAGAGATAAGAGTTATCTGTTTTTGCAAATAAACTCTTCATATATATATATATATATATGTATATGGTATATGGTAAAAAAAAACAACAACAACAGCAGAGCATTGCCAGCACAAACACATTAAGCAAACAAACAGGCTAGCATTATAGCATTAAAATGAGCTCATTTTTGCGGGCAGGCAGCTAGTATTTGCGCTGGCTCGCAATGCTATTTTCCATTGCTGAAATGCTGAGGCCATAGGTGCGGATAGAGATCAGTGTCCCCCGATATAGGGGGGTAAGGTTCACGGAGGTCTTGGCTGAACAAAGACTCAACACAAGCGCACGTGTGGTTTGCATTACAGGCCCATAATTCAATTCCTGTTTCAAAATAGGCTTTTGCAACAAACACTACAGTCCGTGGGCTGAGACCCCCCAAACATCTCAAGCCCGTCCATTTGATACATCAGTACCACCATAGATGAACGGCTTTATTATAATATAAGGACATTTTCATCCACTGTCTCTGGTTTTGAAAGCCGTCTTTCATTAAGAGAGCCTACACGCCAGCTGGGAAGGAAATGGGAAGAGTATTTTGAGGAAAAGGTTGTGAGAGTGGGAATGTAATAGAACAAAGAGGAAGATTCTATTATAAGAATGAAAACATTCTTAATCAGAACATAAATCTCACCACGGGGGACAGAAGTCATCATTTGGACAAAATGTATGCAGTGAAGCTCTAGCACCACTAGGGGGCACCAGAGATCAAGATGTAGCCTAGCGCTTGCAACTATCGGCCTTTTGTTCATATTCTGACAGACAGAAAATATCCTGAGGCCGTAATATTTTTAGAACGGGGGGGTTGAGAAGGTGGAGTGTCTTTGATGTGCGGCTAGCCTGCATATTAGCTTCAAGCAGCCCATTATGGAGCTCAATAAAAACAAACAGAAACCCGTGGAAGATTTCAGCAACCTCATGTCACCCTTCTCACACGAGGGGAAGTCAATTTCCTGTCAGCTGAAAATAAAATACTCTGTTTTTCCTCGAGCGAAACCACAGTATAAATGACACATACACAAAGTTAGGAACTATTACCGGCTCCTTCATCTTGGAGAGTTATGTAGATCAGAAAAGCTGTAGACATATTTACATTTTCCAGACTCAATTACGCGGCACTATCATTTGCTTACACGAGCTAAGAGTAACGGACTGCAGCTGTGAAGTCAATTGTGCCCTTCTGGAACGTGAATTGCTAAACAAGGTTATGTAGCATTTGATATATATAATGGGGTGTAACCAAGTAACGTTAGCTTTACTCTACAGATGGACTGAAGTTAACAGGTAGCATCAAAACACTTGTAAGTAGCAAGGAACAAGGTATCATCCTTGGGATGAGAATATGTAGCTTTCCTGAAGCTCAAACAGTAGAGCATAGCACTAGCAATGTTAAGGTCTTGGTTTGATTCTTGAGGAAAACTAGAACTGATAAACTGTGTACATGAATCCAATACAACCCTCTACATTGCGAGTAAATCACTGGCATATGCGACTAAATCTTCACTCTGGGCGACTAAATGATGTCTAACATTAGCCAATAGCTAATAAATTCTTAGATTTTACTCGCCAGTGTGTGAGTTGGAGGCTAATACTTAGGCTATTAACTAAGTATTAGTTTTAACACAGATATATTTTCACTCGCCCAAAAACACTCTGAACGGGGCTAAACTCTAGTGTGAAGGTGCACTACTTACACAAGAGCGAGAGAGTTTTAGGGTGTATTCACACCGGTCTTGTTTGGTTCGATTGAATCGAACTCATGGTTCGTTTCCCCCCTTAATAAAAAATACTATAGTAATTTATAGTAAATACTATAGTGTTTTTGAACCATACTACTGTAAAGTACTTGAATTAATTTGTTGTGTTGTTTATAATTCTATAGTTGCTGTGGTAATATAACAACTATAGTAATATAAACAAATTACTTTACCCAATAGCCTACGTGTACTAAGTTTTCTACAACTAGGGTATATTATACTACAATGTTTACTGTAGTAAAAACTAAAGTATACTACAGTGTTTATTACATTTTATCGGTTCACTATAGTTAATACTACAGTATGCTGTAGCATTCATTAACAAAGTGTTGTAAATACTATAATATATACAGTATAATTCACTTTACTATAGTATGGTTCAAAAACACTATAGTATTTACTATAAATTACTATAGTATTTTTGCATGTGGGTTGGTGCAGATCTTTTGGGCAAATGTGTGAATACAGCAATCGCACTCGGGTGCAGACCAAACAACAGTACCGAGACCCAGCTGAAGAGGTCAGATTAAATTAAAGGTAAATGTAGGCACAATAAAACTTTGTGTGTGGACCGTTAGCATTAGCATCCCTCAGTTTTGACTTGTGATTTCTGCTGTTGTTGCATTAGCGCTGTTGCACTTAGCCAAGCCGGACTTAGCACACCACAACCATTAAATCTTCTCAAACCAAACGAACTTACTTCTTACGTCACGGTTCAGGCTGAATTACCACTGCTTTCCCACCCATTCAAACATTCTGCTTGCACAGGAACTTAGTGCTAATCTCAGGCGAAATGAAAACAGGCCGCGAAAACATACCCTGACCCCTCTTTGTTCACCCTAGCGCTGCTCAGTGTTAAACCTGGTTGACATGCCAAACATTAGCTGCATTTGGAGAGCTGTGGTTAGGCGTGGCACAGGACGGCGAGCCCACGCTGAGGAGCTGGGGGCAGGAAGTGCTGCAATTCTAACATTCTCATTCAATTTCCTGCGATGTTTCCACAAACCGCCGCTTCTGCTGAGGAACTGACCACGCCGCTGCTTAAACTAATACTCAGATTAGCGTGACATTTAGTAAAGGGCAGCGCATTAACACGCTGCATGGGCCCAAGCATTCATCTCATGGTAATGAGGCATTACTGCTAGTTAAGAGCCTCCGTCGCTCTCCTTCCCAGTGCATTTATCAGTCTCTCCATCCCTCCCCTCACCCGCACCATCCATCAAGGCAGGATCACATTGCAGAGATAAGTGTCCTTCACTCTTCGTCGGCTCTCAGTCGCTCTTCATCTCTCTGGGGTCCGATCTGTCTTCTTTCCCACCACCCGTTCCCTCTCACCGTTCCTTGATCCCTATCGGGAATCTCTTGC